GCCAAGCCCAAAATACAAATAATCCAATGCTAGACCGAAAACACATGGGTTTTCAGTCCAAGCTACAATTAACCATATACTATTTTCGGCCCAAATAATAAAAACAATAAATGCTTAGAAAAGCAAAGTATAAACCATATTTTTGACCCAACACACGTCGTGGCTAACAATGCCACGTCGTGGGGGATCATTAAAATCCCGCGAATACTCTATTATGGTCACATCGTGGTCAACCAAAACTAAAAAATTATTTATAAAGATTTCACCTTAGAGAAACCGGATGTTACAACATCGGAAGTTACCTTTTAATCTCTCGAGTTCTTATAATACATAGTTGTCTTTTGTTTGTAGTACTCTCAAGCTTTAGTCTGTTTATTTACAATTTCGTTAGTACATCTAAGATCGTTGAAGTCGTCTGACTTAGTCGAAGAAAAACTAAGTGGCACACGATATAGACTAGTCGTAAGAGTCATCTTGTCACACGTGGTATCAGATCCAATCGACCAAGGGACATGCATGCCGGTATGGTCACACATTTTCATGGGGTTCGTAGAAGTACGTGTTAGCTGGTTTGTTGCCTTGAAGTAAATGGCGACCTCCTGATGAATGCTCTGCCTCCCTGGAAGGAAGTATCGGGGGGTGGCCACATGTAAATGATTCTGAATTGAAGTACAAGGGTTGGGATCCAGTGTTGTGGTTTGTGATCATACTTAGCATCTGAAGGAAGGCCATTTCGAAGGGATAAAAGTTCCTCTTCCATCGCATGAGGATATGTGACAATTTAGCGGAGGGAGAGTGTCACAAGCTGAATATCCTGTATATTAGCTTAGATCGGGTTCAAAAGGAGGCATCCTAGCCAAATGGCATTGGTATGCTAGTCATTGTTGTTTGGTCGAGTCGCGGAAGTGTGTGACAATGAAGGGGGTCGTAGCGTTCTACAAATACAACTCGTCGGGGGCTAGTGTCGCTTCCCTGATGAGCCCATGGCAAGGCGAAACCAGTTGACATGCGTAATTTGGGAGGACTGGTATCGAGGTTTTATAGGGACCTCGGTACGTCGCACGGGCAAGAAGTAATGTTGAACTTGAATCCGTGACAGTAAGGTCAAACAAAGTCGTCGTTATAAAGGTTTATTCTTGTAGTATTTGTACAATTTTCTCTTGCAACATGACAACTTGCAAAAATACGTAGTAGGAAACATCACTATTTTAGGGTTTTGGAACACTTAATATGTAAATTTAAGTAAAAAAAAAATTACTTAATACAAGGAAATATTATTTAACTAATTTTTATTTTACATAAAAGAACAACAATAAATAGGATTAGCAATGGATTAAAGAAGAAAAAGAGGAAAAGAACTATCAATTGATGTTAAATGATGCATGTGAGCTTCATGATAACTCTCTTTCATTTATTTATTTTAGCCATGGGACAAGGTTATACGAGAATGAGATGCCTATTAAAGTTCAACTATTATATCATAATCAAATTAATAATTGCAAAATTGATGATGTGCTGCCCAAATAAGTTTTAGTTACATGAAATAAAAAATGGAATTATTATCAGGGTATAGTTATCGCATAGTCATCTGACTTCTCTACCGAAGGTACTAATCGTACATCCGATGGTCTGCTGGTCACTTTTTCTTCATAATTTGTGTGCAACTTGAATCGAAAAAACCATACAGTTGCAACTTCTTTTTGTATGTGATTGAGTTGGTGGGGGAATATTCCCCGCTCTGCCCAATGCGCTAAATCAAACCATCATGCCTCCCTTCTGAGCTCTTCCGAAGGCCATACCCACCACTGTTAGGGCGGAGGAAGTGGAACCCTTTCCAACCATTCAAATCACTATCACATCAGCTCTCTCTCTCTCTCTCTCTCTCTCTCTCTCTCTCTCTCTCTC